AAACAACAGAGCATGTCTCCTGGTTCTGATGAATACTAAATAAAAAGGTTGGCCAGTGAACTGTGACGACAGTAGACGGTGTTTCAGGGCCAGAGCCTGGAAGAAGCGAAGCTGCTGCTGCTGCCGCTGCTGCTGCTGCTGCCGCTGCTGCTGCTGCTGCCGCTGCTGCTGCTGCTGCCGCTGCTGCTGCTGCTGCCGCTGCTGCTGCTGCTGCTGCCGCTGCTGCTGCTGCTGCTGCCGCTGCTGCTGCTGCTGCTGCCGCTGCTGCTGCTGCTGCCGCTGCTGCTGCTGCTGCTGCCGCTGCTGCTGCTGCTGCTGCCGCTGCTGCTGCTGCTGCCGCTGCTGCTGCTGCTGCTGCTGCCGCTGCTGCTGCTGCTGCTGCCGCTGCTGCTGCTGCTGCCGCTGCTGCTGCTGCTGCTGCTGCTGCTGCCGCTGCTGCTGCTGCTGCTGCCGCTGCTGCTGCTGCTGCCGCTGCTGCTGCTGCTGCCGCTGCTGCTGCTGCTGCCGCTGCTGCTGCTGCTGCTGCTGTGAGACTGAGAGGAAATGAAATCCTGTGTTAATGACAGAGGTGCCTTAATTAAAGCTGAATATCTAAATGGCCGCGGATAAACAAAGCCGACAGTTAGACAAATGCCTGAGGCGGTGCAGTGTTTGCTGGTGCAGTGCCCGCTGCACAACTCTCCTCGGCTACATCAGCGCGTGCCATACGGAATGACTGATCAAACTGTCGGTGAAACAGGTCACATGGAAGGGCAGCACTTGGCTCCTGCTGCCGTCTGGACGGCAGTATCGTATCAAACATTCAGTCATAACCTCCAGCTGCATACAGCAGCAGATAGTGTTAAATTGTTCCTGAAGCACCAGGGGGCAGTGAAGTTCTGGGGATTTATAATAAAGACTTCTGAATGTTGAATATCTGCCTCCTGCTGGGTTAAAGATGGAGGTGCACAGGGTTAGGGTTATTAAAACAGTTTAAACAGTTTTTGTTCCAAATATAAATCTGTGTCAGAATTATTCTTTTTAATTTTGTCATGGGAACAGATTAAAAAATGGAACGGCTTTTTAAGGGGCTTTGAAATGAATTAATGAGTTAATTAATGAGTCACATTTTTATTGAAAAGCAATATTTGACAGAATGAGTGAAGATTATTTTTGGTGGAGGATCAACACATTTACAACGTAGTGAAAATCACTTCATACAATGATCTTAAAATGCACTACCGCCACCTACAGGACTGGACTCTTTTTATCTGTTTTGAAAAAACTGGACCTAAGAAATGAACCTGATTTTTTTGTCTCTATTTAATGAATTTAATTGAAAATGTAAAATCCCTGCCCAATCCCAGGATCCAAACTAAAGTAACAAAAATGAATGATGTTTCTAATGACCGTCGTCAGGACAGCGCCTCTACAGGCCTGTCTCGTTGAACTGCACTGAACTCACCTCTTTTGGCCTGCTCTGTTTAGCTGCAGAGTCTGTCCGCAAACGCTGCTCAGGGTAGACTTTTGTTGTGTTGTCTGTGTGTTGTTTGGTCCTACTCTCAGCCGCTTTGTTCACTGTACAATTCCTGAATCGATGGATGCCTGCTTCCTCGTAGTTTTGGGGGGGGGGGGGGGGGGGGGCTTGCTGAGTGCACTGTTCTGACTTTGGTGCTCCACTTATTTTTAATGCTCTGTTGCAGAATGCCACAAAGAGGAGAGGAGAGGAGTCAGAACTCCTACACTAACGCTGCAGGTTCTGATCCAGGATCAGGGTTTAGTGTTAGCTAGTTAGTTAGATGGAGGACCAAATGTTTACTTCCTGAAACAGTAACAGTAAACAGTAAAAAACGAAGCCTAATTATCAACACACTGTGTTAAGCTAATAGGAAATATATGCAACCAATCCGGTTACAAACAAACTCCCGTCCCCGTCTGCTGGGGAGTTTTTTGTTTTGTTTTGTTTGTTGTTGTTGTTTTAATTCCAAGTCAAGTCTTGAACCATCCTCAAGAAATTTGCTCTCTTTTACCAAGAGTTTATTTCTTACAGTAGTTATTCTCCTCCTAGGCTAGGCTAGGCCATGCTAGGCTAGGCTAAACTGACATGATCGTGCAAGTGTCCTTACATGGTTCTATGTTCTTTAGGGTTATAGAGTTTTTAATTTAAAGACTCACTCCCACTGGTGAATATAAACAGAATATATCCCACCGACAAAAGAAAAAAAATAATATAAAAAATATATTCAGCGTTCAAACTCATAACCAAAGTATGTTTGGATAAAGATCCGATTTGGTGATTGGACACTCAGCCGTCAGGTGTTCAGCACTAAATTTAACGACTTCTCCATCTTCCAGCGAACAGCAGAGTGAGATGACGAACAGCGCCACCTGACCAATTACACTGTAGTTCCCTCAGCTGACTGTATTAAATGAACAGAGAGATTCCAGCTCTCTGTGTCAGTCCAATGAAGGTAGATTCACAATCACTGTATAATGTGTTGAACGGCCAATCACAGGCAGCTGCTGTGGAGGGGGCGGGGGCTGGAGGGGGGCACACTGAGACGCTGGTTAATGATGTAAAACCTGTGCACCGCATAGCATTCCAGTCTGAGTGTTAGAGCGTCTCTGTGTTTGGTCAGACTGTTATTCTCTCATTACATCTGCAGGGGGGGTTAAGGAGACTTGTATTTACTGCCCTCCTCTGACCATCACACCGATGATGGCCAATGAGCTACGCAGCTCGACTCCACTGAGTCCTTATCTCTTGGTGGCACTTCTGCAGACAAGAGTGGAGCGAAGACATTACTGTCATTTCTTTGTCCTAATTTGAAGATAAACAGAGTTTAGAATCTCAGCAGCCTCGGTTTGGCCTCAGGACTTCTGGGGATTCCAGGGATTTTAGATAAAGACAAAAATGCCAGGAGGTGCTACATGTCTGAAGCAATAGAAGAGCGCCATAATACCCCCTCTCTTAATGGAACATATGGGATGCAGTGAAATGGTTTACTGACTTTGCACGTATGTCCTCTCTGTGATATTTATTTTTTTAGTTTTTGGACTTCTTTCATCACGTTATTGCTTCTGCTCCTTTTATCTTGAATTATTACGTCCTGTTTGCTTTTGGCCTGGTTGGGATTGTTGACTCAAAGCCAAAGGCATTTTTTTGGGAGCGACTGGGGGGGGGTTTGGTAGATGAACCTGAGGTCATGGTTAAAAGACATCATGTGAATTTTATCTGTATAACTCAAATTCCCAAACACACTGACTTTTGTTTCCATTTGTCCTGACACATCCTACTGCAGTACAAGTGTCATCACAGCCCTCCAGATGACAGATGACCTGGTTCTCCTGGTTCCCCTGGTTCTCTTGGTTCTCCTGGGGCATTATTTGTGAGATCAGCGCTGTCCTCCACAGCCCAGGCTTTAAGAGTGAAACCCGTGCTCCGTGTCAGGCTGTTCTGAGCATTTCTAAAGTGAAAGCCTCCGTCAGACAAAGCCTGTCCTCTCAGGCTTAAGTGTGTGAATGAAGGAGGAGGTGGAGGATCGATGATAAGAGCATCTCACCTCCTCATCTGCTCCACTCCGGCCCAGATGGAGATTAAACCTAAAAGCATGCGTCAGTCAAAAGTCACATTTGGATTCTTGCATCACTGTCTTCAACACAACTGTTCTGCTGATGAAAGATTCTGCACTTACAGTGTGGAGAAACAGTGAAAAATGGTGATGGAGTTTTTTGTAAGATGGTTCTCAGGAAGAGGAAGAAGAAGTAGAGGAAGAGGAAGAAGAATAAGAGGAAGAAGTTTTCACCATGAAGAATAATCAAACATCAAACCCTGAGCTGAGATCTGGAACTGTCTCAGCCATTTCTCTGCTAAGACTCACTGTGAAGGCGACCGTACGTAGTGCATCCAAACACACACACACACACACACCAGATCAAAGAACCCGGGGTGTATTATTATTGTCTAAACATCAGCTTTTGTAAACGGTGGTCACTTCAGGCCTTAATCACTGTTGTGGATGAAACAGAATCATCCTGTGATCCTGTGATCCAGGGAAGTACTCCAGCCTTTGATTTGTTGTTCTGTGATACACCCTGTGGTTCCACCACGCTCTCTCATTCAGACATCACAGGCCAATCAAGCTGATATCAAAGTCAGAACACAGACGTGAGTGTTGTGGAGAAGCTGGAACCGTCGTCGTGACGATGTCGTCTCTTCAGCTTCGTTCTTTCATGTCACAGTTATTTCCTCTGACCCTCGACTGTCGACATGTCCCGTGAACTATCTGAACTTTTCATTTCATGTTTAACTGCAGGAAGTCATTTTCCGTCTGATGTCATGAGACTTTTCTATCCCTAACCCTAACCCTACTGCTCAGAGCTAATCCTGACCCTGTTTAGTTGAACACAGCACTGATATACTCGCAGAAATTGAAGTAATTGGAGCAGTTTTAGTTTTATTTTATATCCATCTGCTGCCACCTAGTGGAAGAGTATATTATTGTTCTGTATGTTGTTAACACCTGGATGAACCGCATGACAATAAATCATATTTTTTCCAAATCATTTTCTACTAAACGACAGCCGTGCAGTTTCACAGATGGACTTTTTGCAGTGCAGAAGTTGAGAGAAGATGAGTCGCCTCCTCTGATTGGTGGTGATGTGATAGCTCATTTCAAGCTACTTCCCTCTCTTGTTTTCTTCTGGGGGGAAAATTAAAGACTTCTCTTACCATTTTGATATTTGACTGGCAGCAGAGGGGTGCTACAGCGCCACACTGTGAACCCGATGGGAAGTCATTTAAATTGTGTCTTGTCGGTGTCTGAGGGTGACTGAGCCAGCCACTGCATCCTGAGGTTTGTGGGTAATCTTCTGCCACGAGCGAAGGCTCTGATTATTTATTTTGGTTCCATATCTGTGACTTCACATCAATTCACCGCTAGAACAAGTCACTGACATCCAGCATGTGGACGCTGTCATGTTTACGGTGATGGTCCTGATATGAATCTGTACTATTTCAGGTTTACACCAGATATGGGAAATGCTACACCTTTAATGGCAACAGGACCACATCCAGGAAAACCAAGCAGGGCGGAATGGGGAACGGTCTGGAGATCATGTTGGATATACAGCAGGATGAATATCTTCCCATCTGGAGAGAGACAAGTAAGCCTCACATCTATTTGTCCACTGTAATCCTGCTGCACACCTCTGCTGAGGTTTAAATGAGAAAAAAAAATAACCTGCGTCTGCTTCTCAAGGTCACATCCTGTAAAAAAATGTCAATTTCCCACACCCTAAAAATGTTATTTGTAAAAGTAAATCCCTTTAAAAAAAAAAACACCCTGCCTTGGGCGTGCATTCCTCTTGTCACATTTTATTATTCCCTGACATTTTATTTTAAAAACAGTTAAGAGTGAACATCAAACTGAGCCCAGCTGTCAGAGGAGGCAGAAATTTAAAATCCTCTCTTTCTCTCTCTCTCTCTGTATCGCCTCGTCTTCCTGCTCTGTTTCATCTAAAAGATGAGACGTCTCTGGAGGCCGGGATCCGTGTTCAAATCCACAGTCAAGACGAGCCTCCCTACATCCACCAGCTGGGCTTCGGAGTCTCCCCGGGATTCCAGACCTTTGTTTCATGTCAGGAGCAGAGGGTAGGTCTCCCTTATCACCCTGAACCACCCCCCCACTGCTCTTCCCCAAACAGCTGGCCCCTGGTGGTGGAGAGAGGTCTAATAAATCTCTGTGTGCTCAGCTGACCTACCTGCCCCAGCCCTGGGGCAACTGTCGCTCCACCAGCAAGGAGAAGTTCCCAGGGTACGACACGTACAGCATCAGCGCCTGTCGGTTGCTGTGTGAGACCAACGAGGTCCAGCGAGTGTGTAACTGCAGGATGGTGCACATGCCCGGTAAGATCATCGCCGGGCGATTCACCCAGAACGTTTCTCAATATGTTTGGAAGATTTGGAAAAGTCCTGGAAAAGTCCTGGATTATGGAGAAATGATCAACTTTAATTGAGATTAGTCACAATGTTAATAATTAATTGATATGTATCTTCTTTGTGGCTAGTAAATGAACATTAGGTGAATTACTGCCACCTACTGGGCTGGAGTGTGTGTTACCAGTGTTACCTGTGTGCCAGAAATGAAGGAAGATTTGGTTAAATGAATAATTGTTTTACACAAACTATTTTTGTCTGGAATGAATGAATAAATTAAACACATAAAGTCCCAGGTAAACATTTACACCAGAGGTCACAGGTCAGAGAAGCAGATATGACACAAACAGACATGTTGGTTTGAAGTTAGAGTTCAAAATGATTTATATGAATGGGCGGTCGGACGACAAAATAACTGAACGACAATAATATTATAATAATACAATACAATAATACAATATATTTGAATATAAATCAATTGCCAGGAGATTACAGTAAATGTTTCTTTCACACGTGTGTATGAGGCAGACGCCAAAATCCTGTTCAGTCCACCTTAATAAAGTTCAGTCCACCTTAATAAAGTATCGATCTACCTGAACACAGCGTTAACATCTGCAGCTGTTCAGAAAAAATGAATAGAAAAGTTGAAAGGACAGTGAAAAAAAGAGACAAATCTTCATCATCTAATTTGATATTGTAATGTTAAAATGTAACTTCTCAGTGTAACATTAGAAAAATTCAGTTCACATCTTTGGTACCGGTACCATAGGTTGAGAACCTTTGATGTAAAAAAAAAATCTTAATTTCATGTAAGTTTAATTAGACCTGTGACGTTCACAATATTTATTTATTTATTTATTTCTGATAAAACGTAACTCAACACTTCACACAACGGTGGCGATGAACCTGACTCAGAACCTTTTGACTTCCCCTGCATGTCATAGATACTGTGTTAACGGTAGCACAGTTGTCAGGATCTACTGTATGAGCACGCAGTGAGCGTTACAGCAGCCTTTGATCTGCCTTTGATCTGCCTGGCTGTAATTATCAGTCGTAAAGAAAATGAATCGTCACTGTCAGGTGCAGCGGAATTCCTCAAGACATTCCAGGCCACGTTTGTTTCCAAAGTTAGCCAGGGGGCGCTGATGCGGTGTCAGTTAACGACCTTACATTAGTGTCTGTTACTGATGTTTGTCTTGTCCAGGAGGCTTAACAACAACAAACAACAACAAACAAAAACCAACCAATCATTGATGCCGATTATTATAACTGACCTCCTGAAGAAGGGAGTGGTGTGAAAACACAAGAGTTTTTCACTAAATCCTCCTTTAAACGTCAATATTTGATTCTTTAACGACTTCTTTACGACCTTGAAAAATAGAAGAAAAGAACAGCAGTTCCTGTGTTTGTTAATTTATTTTCAACCAAAAAAGCAGCAATTTCCGCTGACTGTTTATAAACAGGAAGTTCCTTATTAAAAAAACAAGTTTGGTTTATTTCAATCATGTCATATGTTGTATGGATGCATTACTGTCACTTTGTTTGGGGAATATATCTTATATATTGTGAAGTACTAGTATATGTACAGTCTTCCAGTTACAGCTGACCCTTGAAGGAGGACTGAATCACTAGAATTATATTTATATTTGATTTTTGTTTTTATCTTAACTGCTCATCATCTACCAGCACTGCCTCTGTGATCGACTGTAGATCCTGATCGGCTGTAGATCCTGATTGGCTGTAGATCCTGATCACCCTATTGGACCCCCCCAGTGTTACACCCAGTAACACCTCAGACACACAAACACACCTCCACTAGTTAATTGTGTTTCTGGTGAATACTTGTCATTAATGACCCGACCAGCAGCAGCAGCAGTGAGTCAGTGACGAAGTGAGTCACTGATTGTTTTTTAAAGACCTTGCGTGGGGGGGGGGGGGGGGACATGCTCCATTTCGCAGTGCAGTTGAGGACAGACCACCTGGACGTCTGTCCTCGTCCTGGACCTCTGGTCCTCTGTTCCTCTGTTCCTGGTTGCGGCAGATTCAGGTCACTGATCATTTTGTTTCTCATTGATCAGACTCATTTTCTCCTCTCCACTCCAGGAACTGCAGATATCTGCCCTCCCAGTAAAATCAACTGTGTTGACAAAGCACTGGGTAAGAAACAATCTTCACCTTCATTTCTTTTCTCATTACAATCGATGGAAGTGGAAACACAGTCGGTGAACGTGATGATGACGAGACAGAAATATGTTCTGATGACTTTTCCTCTGGTGATTCAGTCACTTTGGAGCTGTTTCATAAAACTGGCCCCTGACACACACACACACACACATGTCCCCCCCTGCCCCCTTGCCCCCCCC